GGGCAGGCGCCTGCCCCCAGGGACAGAGGCTCCCTGCACCGGGCGTCACTGCCGGGAAGTGGGGATGAACACACACGCTGCGAGGTAGCACTGAAAAGAGAATGCACTTTGGTTGGAAAAAAGAGAAAGACCCGGGTTTGATGGCTCTGTGGCGATGGGCAAGCTTCTTAACTTCTCTGAGCTTCACTTTGAAAAATTGGAATGATTTTTGCAAGTTTGTAATAATTACGTTCTGTGATGACATGGTTACAATAGCACAATCCTAGGCACACGGCAGGCGCTCCACTCTCTTTGGCACTGATGTCTCTGTTCGTTATCACCCTTCTCCTGAATCTCAAGTCTTTTCCTCTGAGTTAACTTTTAAGACTTTGCTTATATGACCTTCCCTAAGAACCCTACTTATCCTAAAGTCTCCTCTCATCACTTTCCTATTCCTCTTATTCCACTATCAAATGTTTTGAAAGTATAATCAAACCAATCACATCCACTGGTTTTGCACCAACACTTCTTAACTTTTTCCATTACGTAATGCCTCATCTCTTCCCTCTACTGAAACTCCTGTTACGGTCAATAACGATTCCCTGGTCACCAAGTCTCCTAGCCAACTGTTATCCCAATGCACTCTGCTTCAGTGCTTGCGGGCCTGGGATGTTCCACATCAATAAATAAAACAGCCCTAACCGGCTTGGCTCAGTGGATAGAGCGTCGGCCTGTGGAGTGGAAGGTCCCAGGTTCGATTCTGGTCAAGGGCATGTACCTTGGTTGCAGGCACATCCCCAGTAGAGGGTGTGCAGGAGGCAGCTGATCAATGTTTCTCTCTCATCGATGTTTCTAATTCTCTATTCCTCTCCCTTCCTCTCTGTAAAAAATCAATAAAATATATTAAAAAAATAAAATAAATAAATAAGATAATTTTGGATAGTAAGAGAAGATATGAAAAACAAGAAACAGAGTAATGAGATAGAGTGTAGCGTCAGGTGGGGAAAGTGGGCAGGAAACTCGTGTAGAAAGAGAACCAGGGAGTGCCGCTCTAAGAAGGCATTTGAGGCAAGCCCGACATGCAAGAAAACAGCCAGAGGATGAAGAGCATTCTGGGCAGGGGGATATTTGGTATAAAATCTCTATAATGGGGGGGAAACAATAAGTTTGAGGTGCATTTTAAAAATCAGCATGGCTGGACCATTCTGAACAAGACAAAATGGTAGACATGAGTGTGAAGAGAGAGCCAGGGCTCAGGGCAGGCCTTGCTAGGCTACAGTGAGGAGTCTAGATCTTATTTAAGGGTAATGAGATGCCATTGAAGGGGCTTTAAGTGAGAAATATGCATGATTTTATAGAATGCAGAGAGAGCTCTGGCTACTGCTTTGAGACTAAAATAGATGGTTTCACTGATTAACAGTAAGGAGAAGATGAACCTCAAACTGGAAAAAGAAAAAAAAAAAAGAACCCCAGCAAGGATTGAGGCCAAAATGGCAGAAATAAAGAAGGAATAACAAAGAATTTAAATGAGTTAAAAAACTCTCAGACCAAGGCCAAATGTATTTCAAGGCACTGAAGGTATTTGCAAAAGTGACTGAGAGTCACTGCCAAAACTCAGGAGGAATGTCAGAAACAGAGAAGACCAAATGATCCTATTTTCAATAGAAGAGAGACAATTTCATTGTTCTAAAACCTCCTGGAAAGTCCTCAAAGTGGGGCTGGTAAATATTATAAAAGACCATAGTAATTATTAGGAACTAGAGGCCCATTGTACAAAGATTTGCACAATAGGCCTTCCTTCCCCAGGCTGCCGGCACCGGTTTTCCTCCGGCACCCGGGACTCAGGCCTTTGGTCTGGCCGCAGCGGAGAAGCCAAGCCTCTTCAGTCTTCAGTCTTCGCTTGGGCAGGAGCCTTCAGTCTTCGCTCCGTGCCTGCCAATGCAAATTAACCCGCCATCTTTGTTGGGTTAATTTGCATACTCACCCTGATTGGCTGGTGGGCGTAGCGGAGTGACGACCAAGTTGCATGTTTCTCTTTTATTAGTGTAGATAAGCACAGAAAGAAGTGAGAATAAATTATGTAAAACTAAGCCAACTCTCATGGTGATAGTGATGGTGGTAGTGGTGGTGGTGGTGGTTTATAGAATTATCAGACTGACAATATCTCTATGCCACTCTATGTATTTGGGTAAGCCTTTCAATTATAGAATCTCAAAGATGATTGGAACTTTATCAATAATCTGTTTCAAATTTATAACCTATAGAGGTTTTTTGATTTCCACAATATCCCAGTAATTGTTTGGGTAACAGCTGCTTGAACATAACAACAGGAAATTCACTTCATTTTGGAAATGGTTGGAATACATTGCTGAAAATCTATTTACATGTAAATGCAAACCATTAATCCCACTTCTTTTCTCTGGGTTGTTATAAGGCTAATTCTCTCACATATACTCCTTGTTTGACAGTTTCTGAATGTGTCAAACTAGGCCGACATGTTTGGGTTTTTATTTGCGATTGGGCAGCCATACCAAAGAAGTCAGCTGCAGCTCATTGACAAGCTGGAGTGGGGTCTCTAAAATCACGCCAAAGAACTCTTCCTTTTTTCTCTACCTATTTTTAAAAATCTATGTTTGGATCCGTGGTTGTTAAATTTAGAGGTGAAACAAAGTTAACAAATAGAGATATGTTAGATTTAATCTAGGTTCAATAAAAGTGTTAACAGGATGTGATAATTGGTTGAAACTAATACATTTTAATAGCAGCAAGTACAGACTTTCATATTAATTTTTCCAAAATTCCCTGTGTAGGTACAAAATGACTCTGCAACAGGTTGAGTGAAAAACACTCAAGGATTTTAATAGACCATAATCTCATTCTGAGTGAGATGCAGCTGTAAACATGCCAGGAGAGACGTACCCTTTGAAGCAAGGGTGCCAGAACTCCCTTGGATTTACGCTGGTCACCACAGACACCGGTCAGCTCCCGTCCGGGATGTCGCTTTGAGAATTATGCCGACAAACGGAAAATCTCCCGGGAAGATGATCGGGTGGGTGAGGGTAGGAAACCACTAGGAAGTACTTGGGAAGAAACTTAGGAAGTTCAGCCCCAAACAAAAAAGCCTGGGGCAGGGTGTGGGGAAGCTTAGTTCTTTTAAGGAAAACAGATTGAGGACCACGAATGGAGCTGTGAAGAGACGAGTGTATAGGATTTAATTGAATATAAAGAAGAACTTCCTTAAACAACCAAAGGGACTGACTTATGAAGCAGAAAACTCATCGCTGAGAAAGGTCAAGCTTGTTCATTAGGAATGTTTTGGGGGATTCCTGCATTGGAAAAAAATGGCTGAATTAAATCAACTTGAACTTCTCATCCAAGTCTAGCACATTGTGCTCCAGGGCTCATCTTGAAAACAACACAGTTCATGGCCTGTGGCTGTGCCCAGGACGCGGTTCTATCTTGGGCACGCGCTGCCGGCTGGACAGGTCAGGCGGGAGAGTTCCTGCCTCCGGCTCGCTTACAGTCAGCTGTTGCTCCCGTTCTTTTTTTGGAATATCAGCTGCAAGGGAGCAGGAGGCGATGAGAAGGGAGAGGTTCTCGAATTAACCTTCCATTCAGGTCCAGGCATTCCTAACCTGCGATGTCAACGGGTTATAACCGAAGGGAAGGCTCCGGTTTTCCTGCCACAGGAAGAGGCACCCAGACAGCTGCGAGGGCAGGGCGTGGCTCCCAGTAGGAAGAAGCCAAACCACAGTCTATCCACTTTTTAAACCGAATGAATGAATGAATGAATGAGTGAATGAGTGAATGGAAAGTGATCAGAGCTCGCGGGGCTGCCCAGCCTCATAACCACGCCCGCTGACACTGGCCCGCCTCACTAGGCGAGGAGGGGAGCGGGCACAGGTGGCCTCATCTCTACCCACGCCTCAGCGGCCATTACCGTGCTGCGCCCGGTGCCCGGGCCTAGGGATCAAGGCTAGACAAAGGCTGGGAGGGAAGAATCGGAGGGGCTGGGGTGGGGTCGGGGAGGAGCAGGGAGCGTGTAAGGTGTGCATGCGGTGACGTCATTGCCTGAGAGAGTCGGCCCTCCCCTTCCAGGCGCCGCAGGCCGACGTCTGTGGGGGTCAGGAGTGGGGTTGCTGGTGGGGTGTGAACTGGGG